TCCCCAAGCCTGTAGCACTGTAGGGAGTTGCTGAAAATTAATGGGATTAGGAACTTTTGAACATGTTTTGTACAGAGTTGTGCATTCTTTTGGCACACAGTAATAACCCCTGATTTTCATGTATTCTCAGCTTCATGAATCCGCATCATATTCCTGTGTAACTTTGCCTTGCATGTTATGAAATCTTCCATTACAAATAAACTGGGAACTTTCCAAAAGTGTAATCAAAGATATTTCAACAGGTCAATCTGCAGCAAATAAGGTTTTAAATGTGATGGTGACTATTTGATAAAGATAGTCTGTGCCCGTTTCAGTAACTTTGATATGTATCAAAATATATTGGAAAGCAGAAAGTTCAAATATTGTTTGCCATTGTAAATTATCTGTGCATCCTGACAGCTAAATGAAGTGAGCTGTGCACGTGAACAGTGGTCAGACTTTCTTCACGGAGACAGAAGATGCTCAATGACTTCTTTTACCTGGTCGTGCATTAATGCTGCAAGATGGGTTGTTTTACCTCCAGGCGCAGCACACATATCCAAAATTCTGTCTCCTGGTTGAGGGTTTAGAATATGGCTCACAACCACAGAAGGCAAATTCTATCAAAAAAACAAATACGGGAGAATTCAAACCTTACATCCGTATCAAGTCATGACAAAGTCCTTGAAACAAAAATTCATTCAGCAGTGAAGATATAAATGATGTAAGTATTGGGATTTATATAAAAGAGACAGTGTAGGTCAGAAGTCTCCAGTGCCTCCTTTTTTATTTAAAGCTATATATGAATATCTATGACTGAAGTTTAAGGGTTCATGACTACGGAAACTACAGTGCTAAAATTCAAAATAAAATAAGATGATATTATCACAGACACAGAGCAGCTCCGTATATTACATATATTTTATATTGACCTGTTTATTGGAACATTTACTATATGAACATACTGGTGTAGTATAGTAGCAAACAGTAAGATCAATAGGCAGGGGCTTAAACTTGCTGAATTATGGTACCAAGAAGCTGAACTGTGCTCTTGTATAAACAGAGGTACTGAAGTGAAATAATATGCAATAATTGTGCACAGTATTGCATCTTAGACAATACGGAAATATTCTGAAAGACTCTCTTCTAACTTGGTTCAACACAAAGGTATTAAAACCTTTTAAAGTCATCATTACTACACGTTGTCTTTAGTTAGCAGTTTCTAGTTCCCTGCCACAGTGTTCAGAAAAATGAACAATAATTCATCTCACATTGGCAAATTCAAGTCAAAAAAAAACAGGCTCAAAGGGTTGTGATCAGTGGCACAAAATCCAACTGGAGGCCAGTCAATAGTGCTGTGCCCCATGGGTGGACACGGGCAACAGTGTTGTCTAACCTCTTCCCTAGGGACCAGGATAACAGAACAGAGTGCACCCTGAAGGTAGAAAAGTGGAAGGTCGTGCTGCCATTCAGAGGGACTGTGGAAGGCTAGAGAACTGGAGATACAAATCTCATGAATTTGGAGATTTTCCTGATTATCTACAGAAGGATGTACCCTGAAAGAGGCTCATATTTCAGAGTTCAAAACCTAAAAGGTCTATGCAGAGTATCTGTTCAAAAAGAATTTAAAAGTTTTTAAGTGAGTATCTCTTAAGTCACTTGGAAGTCCCTTATCGTATCTCAGATGCAGCATGATTAAACCATGTACACGTAGATGCTAAAGGCTTTGTTTTCTTTAAATCCAAAGCGTGAATTAGGTACTATAATACACAATGAATGTAAAAAATATTAATGTGTGCTTGGAGGATATTCATTATTCTGCAGATAGTACAGATTTTTATTTTTGTAACAAACGTACCTGTAAAAACAAATGGCTAGGGAGCACATTGTCAAATGAAGGACTAAGGTAGACTGGCTCGGTCATTCTTATGCCCATCCCACTGAAAAACATTAAAAAAAAAAAAAATTCAACTAGTCTGTTTTATAATTTTTTAACAGCATTCAATTTAAATCATTATGCTTACAAATAAAAAAATCAAGCAATAATCTTACAAAAATGAAAGCAATTATAAATCAACTAAGAAAAATACCTTTGTAATTTTGTAATCTGATATTCTTTAAAATTACATCATTAAATTGGGTAAACCATAAAAAACATTTACTATATTATAAATTGGATCTATCCATAAAAACTGCATAAAGCAAATTTATCTTTTTTGTACACAAGACAAACTGAGATCTAACCCAAACCTTGATACAGTAAAGAAATGCATAAAACCAGAGTTAAATATGTTCATTTCAATCTGTAACTGCTTTTGGCTAGTCACGTATGCACTAGGGCGCTGGCCTATGATTTCCTACTTAGATCTTCCTCCATTCTTCTAGACTGTCTGAGATTTCAGTCAAAGAACTAAAGAAATTCTATTTCAGAACACTTAGAGGAACATTGACTTATCTGCAAAGCAAAGGTTTGAACTTAGAAACAACCTAAAAGTTTATATAAGGATGAAGTTCTGACAGATTTCATTTAAGACAAATGTACAAGGAAATGGACAATAAAAAGAAAAACAAGAAAAAACAATACTGAGCCTGAAACCAACAGATTACTGACGATAACAAGAATGAGTGTTATTTTGCATATGCACTGCACAGTCCACTAAGAAGAAGGAAGGAAATGAGAAAGTAAACTTGCAGACACCAGATTTAGTGTTTCATATTGCCAGTCTTTGTCATCAACTCAACAGGTATATCCTACCACTTCTTCTACTGAAATCCTCTGACAATGTAATCTTTTTTAATAGGTCTTTTGTAGTTTGTTCTTGGGATGTTAAGTCTCAGTCATTAATTTGATATCCATGCCCTGCTACACTGCTTTTTATATATGTTTTAGATGACGGAAGAGGAATGAACCATATGCTTTGGCAACAAAACAGAAAAGCAAGTAATCTTGAAGTAGGTAACTACCTTGGAAATGCTATTCATCTTTTTAAGACACCTGACCTTATGTTCTGTCCCCTGCCCCACCCAAAAAAAGCCCCTACAAATATTTTTAGGAGATGGAGAAATCGACAAGGCTGCACTTCTGTTCCATCCAAAGAGAAAAGTGGTACAGAACAATTTATAAAATGCAGTATTGCCACAGTGAAAATGTTTCTCAGTTCTGTTTGTTCTACTATTGATGTCAAATGTTGAATTCTGAAAAGGCTCACAGTCATTTCCTCCTACCTGCCAAGTACACTGGTGTCTGGATACACTGTGAAACCAAGTGTTGAGTCTGCTAATACTTCCTGCAGTATCGTAGTTGCCATCATGCTGCCGCTACCTTAGCTGTGAAGTTACAGAAGTCAGCAGGAGGCACAATTCTACTATGTTCCCGGAAACTAACGCTTCCCGGAAAATACTGGAAATTCCAATATGCAACACAGTTCTCAGTCAAAGCCATCTTGTGGTGTCACATAGCACACAGAACATTTCAGTATCTCTTCCCATTTTCCTCCTTCCCTTAACAAAGCTGTAGGTGTAAATGCAGTTACTAAGGACTTACTTCAATGGGCCACTTGAACTAAAGATTTCACCACGACTCAGTTCCGAAATCCCATTTCCAAGGAAAACTTTGACTCCTTCAAATTCTTTGGCTCCTCTTTTACATTTCCCTTCAACATCTGAATACACTGAGACCAGATCTCCAGCTTTCATAACTGCAAAACAGAACAGAAATGTTGAGAGTAGTATATGCTTGACAAGACAGTAGTGACCAAATAGTTTAGGATTTTCAGTTCAACCACGACTGCTTACTTCCACTCCTATATCCTAGCAAAATTTAAACTGTCTTAAATGTAATCAAAGAATAAGATTAACTGATATTAGGCTTGAAAGTATACATGGTGAACGATGGCTGCCTAATGACAAGAGCTACTGAGAGGCACAAGGTTATCAAAAAGACAACAGGCTGTCTGATTTAACAGGCTAGACAAATCTCAACTTTGTTCATTTATTACCGCGTGGTCACCCATAAGTTTTAAGCACACTCTTCAGGATTCAGTCCGCTGTGAGTGCTCCAAGCACGCAAGTACATCAGACGACACTGGTTCACACTTACTGTACAAAGACAATAACACTAAATTTGTCTAACGACAAACTACTGCTTTGATCCAAGTGATTACATATTCTTGTTGAAACAATTTCTCTGGTGTGGCTCTCTTCCCTCTAAGGCAACTGCTTTTCTCAGTAATCCACTAAAAGACTTTTACATCTCAAATTAAAACCCTCCAGATCAGTAAAGTACGTAAATATATACCAAATTCTAGAACTGTAGTCCTAGGGACTTAAATTTTCTGAGCTAGAACAAAAATAAAGGGGAAAAAGGGGATGGTTTAGGTGATTTTGTAGAATTGTGAGCAAGCTCTTTGCACTGACTGGCTGAAAAATAGGCTTAAAAATAAAGGCCTCCACCAACAGCAATAAACAATTTTCCAAAATTACATTTTGCATGTGTCTGGCTGGAGCAACCAGGAGATATGATAAGTAAGACTAATGACTCTTCAGCTTCTGAAGGATTCTTTGAACTTTATTTAGGAAACTTTTTTTCCATTTTCAAATGGCCTTCTGAATATGCACAAAATGCCCTGGGATTGTTAAATGGTAATATTTGTTGGGTAGCCACTAAACATTGCTTTTTCTGCATAGCTTTTTTGACACAATGTGACAAAAAACATTATGTGATAACCTGCTGTTAGCGTCTGCTTAAACCCCACTGAACAAAGACTTGCAGCACTTTAACTCTTCTGTCAAGCGTATTTGCCAATGATTTTTTGCAGTATTCAAACATAAAGGATTTTATTACACTCTCTGCTGACAGTCATCCTTTCAACATGCATTAGTACTCTGTATACTTCTTAAAAGCTTTTTGTAGCTTATATTGGCATTCCATAAACATAAAACTTAGAGTTTGATTAGTTAAGTTAAACTGAAAGTCCCCTGATAATTACTTTACCCTCATTTGGGTTGCAAGTTCAGTGATTAAATGTGTGTTCCTGCTGTACCCTTTATTTCCCTAGTTAGACTATCTGTGCTTAATACAGCCTGATTATATTTGGCCTCAAGTGGGTAGCATGCCCTTTTATTTCATTTTCCCATCTGCAATCCCCCTGAAGTGTTCCTAAAGTTTTAGAATATATTTTCTTTTCTTTGAATTGATGTTGCATGTATAATTACATGCAGCAATTATGATAAATCACTAGTTGACTCAAAGAGGGATTTGAATATTTATGAGGTTGTCTAAATAAGAAGTTTCAACAATTGCTACAGCAATATACTTATTTTATTATCAAGTCCTCGATTGAAAAACATCCCTGTTCAGTGAATTGGACTTAAGCACATGCTGAAGACATCTTGAAGGTTTTTTTCTTGAAAGGGAATGACATAAAGTGACTAGATAAATCCTTTACTGACTCACTTTGTTTAACAATAAGAACCATGATGATTAGTAGATCTCAGCACAATAGAATAATGAAGTGAATCATTTAAAATTATACCAATTGCACATAAAGTTAATTTGACCTTTAAATAAAAAATAAATAGGCTGCTGAACACTAAGCATGTATACGTAGATTTTTTATCTTGTCCCATGGGCATTGAAACAAAAATTTCCATTTCTTAAGAATCTGACATTAAAACTAAAGATTTTTCTCATCAATAGAAAAAAACCCCTTTTAGATCTTTCATACACAAACAATATCAAATGAATTGTCAGTGGATTAAAGAAAGAAAATCCATTTTTGTAAATCTGTAACTTAGGATCATGAACGCGAGTGACCTTGTGACTGAATGAAGAAATAACATATCTGGAAACAGTATCTATTAAATAATGAACATACATCCATACATCCATAGGTATCTGTTGC